AAAGTTTGGGGGCGTAGAACTCAAAGTCGCCCATGGGCGCACTGAGAAGGGCACCTTGTACTTGAATTTCTACGTCAAGCACCTTGGGCGCGGTGGGTTTGCCGTCGGAGGGTTGCTAGGAGAGGATGACCACACCGAGGCATCCATGCCTTCGAAGGCATGCGTTCACCGCGCTGCCCTTTGGGAGACTGCGACTCCGAGTTACAACGGTGCAGGCGTCTTCTCGATTGCAGAGGCAACCTTCTAATGTTGACATGCGTGCGGGGTGAGGGCAATGCGGACCGTTTGCGCAAACGGTGTTTCTGTTTCTACCATGAGAAAAATGTGTTGCATGCGGCGTCATAGATCATCGCAGGCGTCGTCACGACACGAATCTTCCCCGTATACTGGCTTCGTGGGGGAGGTCGCCGCGCTGTCTCGCGACTGCTTTTGCGCAGGGCTTGCCCATGCATGCCGCTCAAGTGGGCCGGAGTCGAGGGTGTCAGCGGATCTCGGGAGCCTTGAGACGGGGGTCAATGCAGACGGGGGTCAGCCAGAGCGCCGGATCCTGCAGGATCATGCGAAGACCCCCTCTGGCTGACCTGGGTTAGCGAGCCGCTCGTGGCCGCGAACTCTAAAGTGAGTTGGGATACAGGCGAGAGGTAACGAGCGTGTGTCCGCGGCCGTTTGTGTTCAAACGGCCGGCCGCCCAAATCTGATTACACCTCAGCGTGAGGTGTACCATTCGCCATCGAGACCGAAAACATCCTTCGCTTGAGATGGCCCGTCGCTCTCGCGACGACCTACTGCTGGGATTGTCGCTACTACGATATAACAGAGCTGGAGCTGGGCTTCGCTTAAGGCGAAGCTGCTGGTTGGGCCTCCCAGCCCCTGTCAAACTTGGTAGCGGAGCTGGCCTATGGTGGTCAGCTCTTGCTCTACTCCTCACCATCCACGGCGCTATCTGGTGGACTACTGACGTGGTGGAACGTCAGGGTGCAGTGGGTTTGCACGGAGGAGTGTATACAACTACGGAACATCGCAAAGACACTTGCAGTGATACCTCTGCCTACGCAGAGGCCTCTTACTCGTGTCCTACATCCCTGCGCCACTGCACTCCTAAAGTCCACCCACCTACTCCAATTGGAAACTTTTTCGGTGACATAATGCATGGAAACATGCGATACGACATTGCACCGCCTCCACCCCCACGCAGGCTCACGACCACATACCGCAAACCCCAACCAACCACATCCGACCACAACCTGCGAGGCCATTGGATTGGTATTACTATCTTTGGGCTCGCATGGGTTGCTATCGTGTGTGCGGTGGGACATATGCGTGGCGGAGACGACACAAGAACGACCGGCCCCCATTGGGACCCGTCCGGTCAAGTACCTTTCCGCGAATTCGCTCGCGAGGCGCATGCCTGGATCAACGTGACCACAGGCAACATGACGCCTTCCCAACAAGCTGCAGCCTTGCAGCGTAGCTTGGGGGGCCTCGCACGGACCATGGCCACGAGAGTTCCCCCCGCAGTTATCAATTTCGGCGTTAACATAGGTGGCCGCTATACCGGTGGCGCCACCGACATCATGTTCCTCGTACGTACGAAGTTCGAGAACCTAGAAGAGGAACGCCAACTCAACTCTGGCACAGCTCTCATTGACTTCCGAGTCCAATGCGGGAGAACGGATCGACCAGACCCTGGCGCGCTTCGAGATAGCCCGCTATGAAGCTGAAACGGCAGGCTCTAACATCCCCAACTTCCAAATTCAAACAGTTATTTCATTCAGAGCCCTTGGAGTGGGGACGTCACGTGCACAGCAACTCCTGTAACCACTATATACCACCGCATGCCGAGGGGCCAGCAACAGTTTGACTCTCTACTTGAACGCATGAGGTCATGTGCTCACATTGCTGAGACAACCCCTGGCAATATTGTTGGTATCTTCAGTCACGGTCACCGAACCGAGACCTTCCATGTTGAGGCAAACGCAAGGCATTCTGCTAATAACGTCGGGGATGACGATCCGCAACCGACAGAGACCGCCACACTACTGGCTCAGAACGGTGGTTCAGCCTCGGGGTCGCAAGACTCCTGGGCCAGGTTCCAGGGGCCGCTCGATGCGGTGGCCCTTGCGCAAGCCACAGCCCTAATGGGCTCAGCGGGGCAACCTGCCGAGTCCGACTTCGGCTCTGGGGCCGACACCGACACGCCTTCGGACGACGAGGCGACCGCCCTAGATTACTCCGACATGCCCACGTACCTCACGGAAGAATAACAGGCGAAATGGTTATTCTTAGGATACCAGAAACATAAGCGCAGGTGGGGGCGATTTATGAAGAAGCCAGTTCGCAAGGTGCGGCGCGCTATCCGACGGGCACTCAGGGGAAAGGGCAAGGGTCGAGGTTAGGGTAAAGGTAAACGGCGGCGATTGCACGGCAGAGGCATGCCAGCATTTCTAGCATCCCTTACCGGGCTACAATATGAAGATATGTTCCTACGTGCAGGCAGGAATCGTAGGCACGCATCAGGAAAAGGTTCGGGACGTCGGGGCACGCCGAAGGATGCGAACGGCAACACTATGGATTACGATATCTGCCATCGCACTCAACAGTTCCGCCGCGAATGCCCTCAGGGCGATGGGAGAGGCAGAGGTCCGTCGATGCATCTGGCTCAAACTGACTCGGACATCAGTATGTTGGCTGGGAGTCACTTTTGGCCGACCCTGCCGACAGCTCAGTTGCAGTTGTTAATTTCACGGCTGCCGGATGTTTGAGTGCCAGCATGTCCCTTGGGAAGTACGCCGACGGGCTGTCCGGGGAGATATTCACTGGCCGCAATGAGATCGATCTCGCAGACTGGCTGGGCAGACCCATCGAGGGGCAACCTGCCGATATTGAATTTGTCGAGAACTTCCACGTACCCGCCGAAGGAGATGGCGAAATAGCGGTGGCACCCGCGGATTCAGAGGCCACTATTCCTGCGACAGGGGAGGAAATATAATTGATGCTGTATCCTCGGGTTATTGGCATTCCGACATACATGGAATTGAGTGAGAATGACCTTTTGCGGGGGAACCCGCGAGATGCCGGTGATCTGTCTGAAGGCGCCCAGTGCGAGCTCGGCCACAGCGAAGGACTTCAATCTACATTCGTAGCTTCGGACCGCCCCATGAGCCGCCAGGAGCGATCGGCAAGCCGCCCGGCCTGGAGACGTAGGTATCGCGCCGACGACGATGACGAAGAATGGGAAGACGACGCGCGTCTGGCACGTCGCGGTCGGGCCCGCAGCGGCTCGCCCGACCGCGCGCGCTCGCTCTAGCGGCCTCCAGCGCCCTCGCCCCCCTGATGCGAGGAAGCCAAGGAACCCCCCATGGAAGGACAATAGACCTGGCGCCCCCCCGAGGAGGGGGCGCTTGCGGGGGCGCCCGCTTCAATGGGGGGGAACCTCACGAAGAATATCCAGAAGACGAAATACAGCGCCTTGTGGGCTACTCGGACGCTGGGTTGGCTCGTCAGCGCGTAGGCCCGCATGCAGTGCGACACTGGTTGAACAAGGGTTGGACAGGGCCCGCATTCGTCATTGGTAACCCCATGCCCCCAATAATAAACCCTAAGGGGCAATAAAGTTCGGGGTTTTCGGCGGGATAATAAAAATTGCCCGCCAGAGTCAGCGCAAAGAGAGATCAAGCTGCCAGGGGGAGAAGGAAATCCAAAGAACATGCATAAATGTATATATATATATATATATATACATACATACATATATATATGGGAAAAGAAGAAGAGCAGGGGGGCCAGGGGAAGGAGAGAGGAGCGGAGAAGGAAGAAGCGAAAATCCAAAGTTCAAGACTTATGAGATTTAATGTGTAAGCGCTTAATGGAAATTAAGGTTTCCATTTGCTCGCTCTGCCTAGTTCCCCCCGGATAATCAACCGCAGCGATGAACAAGTTCAGGGGGCAGGGAGGCAAGAAGAAAAAGAAATTGAAAGAGAGAGAGAGAGAGAGAGAGAGAGAGAGAGAGAGAGAAATAAAGAAAAGAAAGAGCAGAAGGATGAGAAGGAGGAAGAGCAGGGGATGCAGAGGAAGAGGAAGAAGCAAAAATCCAAAGTTCAAAACTTATTAGATTTAATTTGTAAACGCTTAACGCAAATAAAAATTTGCATCTGCTCGTGCAGGGTAGCGCACGCGCTTAGTTCCCCAAGGATAATCAACCCCAGCGATAAACAAGTTCAGGGGGGCAGGGAGACAAGAAGAAACATACATAGAAAGAGAGATATAAATAAAGAAGAAAAGAAAGATGATAATGATGAGAGGGGGAAGGAAGGCACGAGATGCATGAGAAGGAAATAACCTCGATGGCGAACTTTCCCAGTGATAATGAAGTTTGGCCTCCGCGCCCCCGCGCCCCCGACCAAACTCTTACTGGTCGGCGATGAAAAACTCTAACTACTTCAGGGGGGGGGGGGGCATTATGATCGTGGGTATGGGGTTATTCTCTTCGCAATGTTGACCAACATGAAAAAGGCAAGGTCGTTCGCCCAAAGAGGGCAGGGGCTGTCAAAGCACAAGAAGCCCTTATAAAGCGCGACCTCAAGAGGGCCATCATCGAGGAACGGAAACTTTACAGAGGCGTTGTTTGCACGTGCTTCGAGCGTGCCGGCCACGGGCTCGGCTGCCCCATGAGACGCCCATCAAGGGGCCCCAACTTCCGCGAGACACCGTGGGTCTGGTCTCACAGCGATGGTCGGGGTTAACCTGCCCCGTCGAATAAAACACCACACAACGAGCAGTTGACGGAAGACGACTGCGAAACAAAGATACAAGCCCACGCAATATCTCAGCTTTTACGATGCGGAAGATTTTCACCATGTCCATCATTATAGTGATTAATTACGATTGCAATGCGGTGAAGCCTGCTTCGCCCAAACCAGAAGGAGACGACCAGCAACAAGAAGATGAGAAAGCTGGGGGCATGGCCGCAGCGGTAGACCTCCTGAAAGCAGCTCCTGCAGGATACGCCTCGGATTACTCCGACTCCCTCTCCACTGTCACGGACGTCCATTACGACGCGTGCACCTCCATTGACCCTATGGACATCGCCACGAAAGACATGGACCTTTCCCCAGGAAGAAGAGTCGTCTACCGTGCTGGATCTGCAGGTTGGGTAAAGACCATGATTAAATGAAGGTTGCGCGCTGACAAATATGACCTGACCGTTAGGGGCGAGGCTACTATCGGGGATGTGGCATCCAGAAAGCTTGACCGGGAGGGCCTTCACCCTGGCAGAGGGCCCGTGCGCTATGGGCCATGGATGCCCGCAGGGGCAACGCCAAAGGCACATCCTGCCAGGCCGAAGGCGCCTCTCCGCCACCGGCGGGGCCTGCCCCCGCCCGCAGGGCCGCTGTCGAAGGAGCAGGATGACTTGCTCGACGAGCCCCTCAGCCGCTCAGCAATTGGTGCAACCCAGCGAGGCTACTGGGGCTCTGCGGATGAGTCTTCCATGGCGTTGTAGCCAGCAATGTCAGCGCTTGCCGCGGTCGCGCTTCAAATCGGTCGACGCCAACGCGCTACGTCTCCCCGTCAGGACTTAAAGGCCGCGCCTCGTATGAGAACCA